TGCAGCACAGCCTCTGGCGCCCGCCGCCTCCGCCGCGGCCCAGCGCCGCCCGGAAAGGCCCGGCCCCTTCCAGCTGCGCGCTGGCCGCCCCCTCCACACCTCTTGGAGACCGTGCCTCCCAGATGAGCACCCCGCGGGGAGGCCCAGGCTGAAGAGAGGCGCCCCATTTCTCGACGGAGATGGAGTCCCTTCCTCCTCCACTCGCTCTGGTCCACCTCAGAGGGAGAGAGAAGAGGCCGCGGGGCCATCGGCGACATGGAGTGGTCCTCACCCGCCCGTGGGAGGGTGGGAGGGTCGCGCAGGCCTTACCTGCTTTATGTACATGGCTCCGCGCCCCTACCCGGGAGAGGGTCTTCCCCCACCAGAACAGCAACCGGGAGACTGCTGGGTCAGTCAGGTGAGGAGCCTCCGAGACCCCTCCCCCAAAGCGCCGCTCGCTCCCCTCCAGCCAAACAAAATGGCGGCGCCCTTGGAGGCGGTGCCCGCGCCTGGGACGGAACCACTCTCAGAATCCCACAGAGTATAGGGGGAGTCAGTTTCAGGCCCGCTCTCTCTTTTTGGAAAAATCACAGTATTATACGACCCTCTTAGGTGACTACCATTGAATTTTGAAATTCGAATCTGAATATTTCCTGTAACTCCGTTGGAAGTTTCATTCGAAGAAGTCTTGATCGGAGGTTGGCTATATTCTCTCCTTTTGTGTAGCCAATGGTCGGGTCCCCGAGAGGGTAAGGGTTCGGCGCCAAAGCCAATTGTGAGACTCCGAGGGCCAATAGCAAAACGCATTGGCGGTCACGTGGTCCCGGGCTGTTTAAAAAAGCGGACCCTTGAAGCTCAAGCCAGTTCTCCAACCTTATGAATGTACGTGAGTGCTGGAGTTCTGAGTGCGGAATATATGCAGTTCTGTGTGTGGAATTTCTGCCGTTCCATTATTTTTTCTGGCTCTAGAAACGCCCATGGTCCCCAGACTCCCCCAGAAAGGCCCCCTCGCAGGACAGCCCCTAAGGGACTGGCCAGTGCTAGCAAATTTTGATTCAGTAAATGTGATAATTAATACCCAGGGAGTTGTTACTGCCTTGCCTTGTACTATAAATCTAGGAAGGACCAGTACAGTGACAACAGAAAGATTTAGGTTAAACGCTGGGGTTTTTGTTTT